TCTTTAAATGACTGTAGCTGATAATGGGACGTTAAACACAAACAAAACAAACCAAACCAATCAGACAGTTGCTGATTTCTGTCGTTTAGATTATGTCTGATGCTTAGAAGATCAGATGCTAAAGACAGAAAAGAGAACAAGTTGTATGTGCTGATATAATGTATGATAGTATAAATTAAGAACACATTTTAAATACGTCGAGCTCGATTATTTTAATTAAATAACCTGTTTTCTTTTATATTTGGGGAGAAAATCTTTAGTAGAAATCAACGTCACTGTTTGCAATCATCAAAAGGTCTTAGGATAATGTGAAAATTAAACAATTAAGGAGAGCTAGTCAATACACAGGTAGGATATTATAGAAAAGGTTATTTACGGTGCAATTATGATTTCCTCTCTTCGTCTAGACATGTCATCATCATATGAGCAAGTTATTATCATAGGTCAGTAATCGATTTGTTTTCAATATTTACTCAAAATACATTTTCCAACAAAGTCATTTCAACTAATCATATTCATTTCTCACAATTCGTCATCAGAGCTATATATCAATTCCCAGTAAAGGCGTATGTGAAAATTTGGAATCAATTAATTAGTGACATTAACTTTTCAATACGTGTTTGATACGTCTTATATAGCTTTAATTTATCGCTCGACTGTTGTTGAACTTTGGGAGGACAACAAAAGACCATTATTTATTGTTAAATGAACTTCGAATGTTAACTTGAACGTTTACAGCGGGTCAATAAAAGAATAATTAAATCAAGTTTAACATATTTTGACAATAAGATATACAAATTTGTATTAATATACCAAGCATATACACCAGTTTTGACATCTGAAAGACAATGTTCATACAGCAGATGGAAGAGTCGTGCCAGGTCGCTTTTAGATATTGTTTTTGCATGAATAGATAATAGTTTTTCCTTTGATATAGGGGCGTTGCCCACTTTATACTCTAGTCAACTCACAGCCTGCTATCAAAGTCTTTCTCAAACACGTTCTACAAATTTAATTAAGCTTATGTCAAAGTCAAACAACCTATTTAATTCACTCATCAAATGAAATTTTTAAGTTTTATATTAGATATCTGAAGTGAATTCAAATAAATAACATCTGAAATAAATAAAAACATTTTAGCTTTTGTGTTTTTAATAAATAGAATTTATTTTAGGTACACATTTATCAATATTGTATTACAATTAGCTGAACCATGAACACATACGTAAATTCTAAGGGTCACTGCATAATACTTAAACTTTTTTGTCTAATGTTTCTATGTTCGTTTATAAACATAAGTAGCGATATGGTCAACACTACTTAATCAACATGCGCAGATTATATGTTCTGTTTGTAAACAAATAACTGCAGTACTTAGATTAAGATGTATGGTTACATTATAAAAAAGAAAGAGAAGTATACAGGTAAACAACGGTAAATACTTTAGATAGATAAGTTTTTCCTTAAGTATAATTTATCACCCTCTGTGTTGTAGACAGAGGAAACCTAACCTCACAAACAATACTATTGTAAAAAAGGATTGTTTTTTGCTTGGATTTGCATAATGAAAAATAATCCAAAAGGGCTTATGTTTCCTTGCCTTAATCAACACATGTGTAATTCGGATTTTTTCCCTCGCAATATTAAATATTTTTTCCCCATAATATTAAATATTCTAACTGCAAAGTGCGCAGTTATTAATACAACGATGCAATGCTTATGATGTACATGGTACATCATGTTCATTGATACATGTTTGGAAAAGGAACACGTTCGGTCGTTTTCCTCAGCCCTGTCTAAGTCGTAGACACTGGAACAAAAGAAAAAAAAATCTTGCTATTTTCTTGCCCATACTGCAGAATAACTGACTTTGTTGAACCTCTTTTTGTGTGTCCATAATGTATCGTTTCAGTCAGTTGGAGGTGACAAAATATCTTGTGCACAAGTGGACAACATTGTCCTGTAACATAAATTCATTGCGAGTAGGCCTAATTTAGATTTAAGAAAAACAAATATATATTTTGTGTAATACGCCATTCACCAAAGAAAGGGAGTATTTAAAGGCCTATCAAAATATTTTTAAAATATATATCGCCTAAGTGAAGCGCAAATCTCATTAAATATGCTAGTGAATGCAACACTAAAAGGCAACATTACATTTACATGAAATATACCATGTTAATTGTCAATTGAAGTTCAGAAATTGATAAATGTTTAATCATTGAGTTATTCCCGTATTACGACTAACAAATAATCACTAGGAATACAAAGTAAGGAAATATATTAAAATAATTAGTATTTCGATGTAAAAAGCAAATCAAAGTAAATCTGTAATGCATCATATGACAGTTTTGTCCATTAAAAATTCATCAATGGTCTTAAATGTCAAAAGAAAGATTATGCATATCTAAAACGTATCTAAATATATATGTAAATTAAGCATGTTTTTGATATTTTGTTGAACAAACTCTTCAACAGAGCTTAGATTATGTGTTGAAAAAAAGCTTACCTTATAGGATTTTAAAATGATTACAATACGTTGAAATTAAAACATTGCACATACCAGTTATGAATGTATCAATTGCTAGAATTACAAAATAAATATATAGATACCGTATCTACTTCTGCCTAAAATAATTTGTCAGCAATTCAAAGTTATTGTTCCACATGTTGGATATTTAAGAGAGGGTGTGGTGAAATGGGACACAAACATACGTAAATAACTCAAATCTACCACCATGGAACGATGTTAATTAATTTATCAACACATGTTGAAAATAAACAGCTGTTGAATATTAGTAAACTGAATGAATTATGCGCGGCTTTGTGATAAAAAGGAAACATGTTGATGTAAAACGGATTGTTATAAATGTTCGTTAACACCTGGTGCATGGTTAGCCGTTACCGACAGGTCTGTGGTCACATCACTGGCGGATGTCCTTATTTAGAAAAATGACCCATGTCAAGCAATATGAGGGATGTTCTCATTAAGGCACAGTAAACTGTATCATGAGTTATTGTTGTAATAGGTATTTGGACCTGTAAGATGAACGTAAATACACGCCGGTGACTGCACCTTTAAAATGTGGTTATAGAAATGAATTACACTGCACCATACAGCTGTTTCGTCCTTTTAAAACAAATCGTTCATGGAAATCAAAACAGTCTGCCAAAAATGCGTTGAAACTGATAACAGGCGCGTAAAAACCCTAAATTATGCATTAAAAAACTTAAAGGAGTTTTTGTTAATTTAAATTTCAATAATATGTAATGTGTATAATTATAATATGACCCATGCAATTCCTCAAAAGAGATAACTGTTGTCATCGTTGTTACAGCAAACCTTGGGGATTACAGCATCCCCCAGCAGAGTCTACCACCTTGTATCGTGAAAGAGAAACATATAGATGATTAAACCCTTGAACTTTGGTAATAGATACGGTGTGCCAAATATGAATAACATTGTATCATACAATCGTCTTATGCAATGGCAAGTATATGAATGACAAGCCTGTGAGTGTATCAACAGCACACGGAGTCTACAGTATAAGACATGGGCATGGTATCCAGGGTTAATTTGGCTTGTCTTTTGGTCATTTTTGTCAATGTTATTTTACCACACTTTCAGCTTTTTCAGATGGCGGTAAGAAGTATTCGGTAAGGAGTGTTAAGACTGGTGTCAGATTAAAGTGATTGGCTAGGATTTGTCGCGTTACCGTATCTCAAGGTGCGGCTTTTCCATTGTGGTAACACTTAAAAGTACTTGCATTCCATCATGAACAGAGTCCTTATGTGACCCCTTATGTAAAACATTAACAAATATAATCTTCATTAACATTACGACGCTGTATCCGCAAAGTTTGGCAATTATTCATTGCACAAACAAACAAGCTGTTGTTTTAATTTAATGATGACTTCGCGGGTGTTCACGGCAAATACATTTGACTTTGCTTTGTTCCAAACCGTGATATGCAATAGCATTGAAAGTGGCGTTGTTTGTGTGTTGGTTAACTGGAAATTGCTAGGTAAGAATCGCACTCATACTAGTACTTAGTAATACTAAGAAAGTCATCAAACTATTACATTAAATCTATATATGTGCGAAGTATACGTGATGTAGCAGGTAATGTAGTTAATTTCGCACGAACACACACCAACGATGGGCTCATAACGAGGCTCCCTCAGGGCAAATGCCATAGGTCACGGTCACTAGACCATGTAACGTACATAATGGCCATGTTGTAACATGACACGCATATGTGACGGGGAATTACCGGGAAAGTTGGAAGGAAAATACACCTTAAAATGGACGCGAGAAGCCTAATAAACAATTCTGTTTTTTCTTTAACTCTAAGTTAGGATTTTACTTTACTTATGAAAATATACATGCATACTCACTACTCAAATATTTGACAACCGTTCTACATTATCTGTCTAGCTTTTCTACGTTTTTATCATTTAGAATGCAATGCGATTGCATAACTTGTATAAATATGATGATAAACCTTTATAATCCAGGCACGCGATAACGTTACTTCGAACAGAAAAAAAGGTATAAACTCTAGTTCGGTAGATATGCATTATGGAACATGTGATATATAACAGATACGTGACACACCTACAGAGGTCGGAACCACAGACAGCCAGATGGAATATTAAGCTCACGAAAAACGGAAATGTCGCTCAATATAGTGTAACGAAATAAATGGTCCAAATATTCTAACAGGGTAACGCAGTTGGTGAAAGAAAGACATATTAATCAGTTATAGCATGAATGAAACAATTAATGAATGAGAAAACGTATGATAATGCGGTCAGTTTTTTACGCCTGCTCCACTAGGGCATTTCAGCTATATAACCTAACAAGAGACGTTTACCTGTGTTTTTACCTGTGATTAATCACGCATGTCATCATGATGGTTTGGGTTGCAATAAATGACATCCTCATTACCCCGGCTAGCACACTCGCCGTGACGTCACAATATCACCTGTCTATTGCCTCGACGGAGATGGACTCCCCATTCTTCTGTTCATTCGTTAGCCACGCAGTACGTGTACAATATATTGGATATTAATGTTTTGAATTTAAATGGATTTTTGCGTGAATCAGAAATGCTTTAGTTAGCTCGTAAATCGGATGTACTTTACTCGCCATAAGGTAAGTTCGGACGTATAACTTTGATGCTCAAAATAGGCGAACAACTATATATATGTATATATATCCCTGTGTGTGTATGTATGCAGAATAGTATCAAAGGATTTATCCGAATTTTTTTCCTCATATGACCGTTACTTTATATACAAAATGAAGTATAGGTAAAGTTACCTACGTTCTGAGAGAAAAGTTGCATTGTGTTTATTCTAATATCGTCGGGATAATTTCTAAAACATTAGAGTATTAAGATCTTTTTCATAAACAAATGGTAGCTGCAATAACGACATAACGACAAGCCAGCAAATAACTTTACTAATATAGTCCTAACCGCGTTAATATAATCCCGATTGTATTGATGTAACACTGTATTGATATAATCCCGATTGTATTGATGTAACACTGTATTGATATAATCCTGATTGTATTGATGTAACACTGTATTAATATAATCCCGATTGTATTGATGTAACACTGTATTGATATAAACCTGATTGTATTGATAGAACACTGTATTAATATAATCCCGATTGTATTGATGGAACACTGTATTAATATAATCACGATTGTATTGATGAAACACTGTATTAATATAATCACGATTGTATTGATGTAACACTGTATTCATATAATCCCGATTGTATTGATAGAACACTGTATTAATATAATCCCGATTGTATTGATGTAACACTGTATTGATATAATCCCGATTGTATTGATGTAACACTGTATTAATATAATCACGATTGTATTGATGTAACACTGTATTGATATAAACCCGATTGTATTGATGGAACACTGTATTAATATAATCACGATAGTATTTATATAACACTATAACACTGTATTAACATCATCCCGACTGTATTAATATAACACTGTAATACTATAATACCGACTGTATCAATATAACACTGTATTGATATAATCCTGACTGTAGTTTTATAGTCCTGATTGTATTAATATAACGTTTTTATTGATATAATCCTGACTGTAGTTTTATAGTCCTGATTGTATTAATATAACGTTTTTATTGATATAATCCTGACTGTAGTTTTATAGTCCTGATTGTATTAATATAACGTTTTTATTGATATAATCCTGACTGTAGTTTTATAGTCCTGATTGTATTAATATAACGTTTTTATTGATATAATCCTGACTGTAGTTTTATAGTCCTGATTGTATTAATATAACGTTTTTATTGATATAATCCTGACTGTAGTTTTATAGTCCTGATTGTATTAATATAACGTTTTTATTGATATAATCCTGACTGTAGTTTTATAGTCCTGATTGTATTAATATAACGTTGTATTAATATAATCATGACTGTAGTTTTATAGTCCTGATTGTATTATTATAACGTTGTGTTAATATAATCCTGACTGTAGTTTTATAGTCCTTATTGTATTAATATAACACTGTAATACTATAATCCTGACTGTATCAATATAACACTGTATTTACATAATCCTGACTGTAGTTGTATAGCCCTGATTGTATTAATATAACGTTGTATTAATATAATCCTGACTTATCAATATAACACTGTATTTATATAATCATGACTGTAGTTTTATAGTCCTGATTGTATTAATATAACGTTGTATTAATATAATCCTGACGTTAGTTTTATAGTCCTTATTGTATTAATATAACACTGTAATACTATAATCCTGACTGTATCAATATAACACTGTATTTACATAATCCTGACTGTAGTTGTATAGCCCTGATTGTATTAATATAACGTTGTATTAATATAATCCGGACTTATCAATATAACACTGTAGTTTTATAGTCCTGATTGTATTAACATGTACACCTCTGAGAAGTCAAAAATTTCCTGTATTTTTTTTTTTTTACTGATATGGATTTTTGGAAAAGGGAGTTAATGGCATAGTAGAAAATGCAAAAAAAACCTATATGTCCGTGAATTCGTTTTTGTTCTATGATCGGTCAAAGATACCAATTTAACACAACATGTGATTTTAGGTGATTTTTTGGCTTTTGATCATTTGCAGAACAAATTCATACAATTTCTTCCAAGTGTGTTATCAGATATGTATGAATGTTTGTAGAATTGATGAAAATATTATTTTCTTTTAATTTATGGAAGTAAAATTTCTTAATCTTATGTTGTTACTCAGAAAGCCGATTTTAGTTACCCCTACCCCCTATTTTTTTACCTTTTTTTTTTTTTGCAGATTAAACGCTTGATAGAAAAAGTTCTGGTATTTAACCTTTTTTTAATATATAATGAATTAAATGAAAATGTGTTTCTCTTTCTAAAACATCTACAAAAATGGGAGGTCAGTGTGCTTCTTTTTTTGTCCCATTGTCATTTGTGTTATTTTTTTTAACCTTTTTCGGGGTCAAAAATCAAAAGTGTTTCAGTAACCCTAAATACGTAAAACAATATCAATAATGTATAATTTTCCAGTTTCTTGCATATTATTTTTATCATATTGAACATCATAAAGTTGTACAGCAAAATTGAACCTGCTACAATTAAAAATGGCGACACAATGACAATTTAAGTGATCAATCTAGTGTCAAAAAGGGTGAAATACACATTAATACACATTTTCAAAATGGCCACCGAATTGGTAATTTTTTTAAATCCTTGTAAAAAAAAAGTTCTACAAACAACAGGCATCTAGTTTTTTGACATATTTTTCAGGGGTGTGTTTGCTAATAAACTTGATCGTAATTTGTTAAATATTACGAAACCCCATTACACCAGATCAAAACGAGACTTGAACGTGATTGAAACCTCAGAAGAGTACATCCTTAAAGATTCCTTACTGCATTAATGTAACACTGACAGTATTCATATAACACTGCTTTAATAAAATTCTGATTGTATCTATATTATTCTGACTGTATTCCAATAGTCTCGAATGTATTAAAACAAGACTGACTGTATTTATATAAAATGTATTATGTTATTGTAAACATCTATGACCATATTGATGTAAGACTGACGTATAAATCAACACAATATCCTTAGCGTTGTCCGTTACGTTTGAATTGATAGCATGCCAATATGTTTGGGTACTTGTTGGATACTAACTAAGTATGCTGTCCTTTATTTGGATACTTAGGTTTTCCGTTACCTTTAGGTGGATTGTATGTCAATACTTACGTTGTTAATTAATAACGTTTGAATGCATTGTATGCCAATGTCATAACACTTGCATTTGCATTTCAAAGAAATGAGAATTAGATAAATGTTTATAAAAACCGTATATAAAACAAATAACTTATATCAGCGAAAACTGTCAGAGATAATATCAATAAAGTATGCATTTGAAACCAGTGTCGGGTTTGTAACTGTGCTGTCTTCACACAGGTTCTACCTCTTTTACACGTGCACTTTTGTCGTTCAACGAACAAAAGTCTTTGACTTGAATACAAGTGTGTAGATTTTACACAGGTTCAAGACAATCATAATAACGTACCGTGATTAAAAATGAAACAAATATGATATTAATGATATCGCTTCAAAACTGTAAAACTTAGCATTTAAATTTCGGTTTTTTCGAATGAATCCATTATGTTAACCAGCTAATATTTTTTTTTTTAATTATTTATTTAATGAACTGAATATTATTTGCAGAGTAGGTTCTAAGCATTCGAGTTATGGATGAGATAAGCCGTAAATGTACCCAATGAGTGTATCTTATGGTAATCCTCTAAATCGAAACGGTGACATTTAATTTAAGCTCTTTTCTAAATAATACTTTTAAAGTTTATCTGTTGAATCTTACGGTGTGTAAAACTTGACTGTGTTAAGTTGACCGGCCTATATAAGTTATATTATCCTTATCTCTTGTGATTAATCGTCCTTTATAATCATTTTAGTATAAACCTTTTCTGTGAAAAGTTAATTGACTTTTATCATCCTTTTTCATATTAAAATATCTGTCGTAAGGTAATCGCCCTACATAAACCGTTTAATGTATAAATTGTCTGTGGTAAGGCAACCGCCCTATATAAACCGTTTAATATAAAATTTGTCTATGGTAAGGTAACCGCCCCATATTAACCGTTTAAAATATAATTTGTCTGTGATAAGATAACCGCCGTATATAAACCGTTTCATATACAATTTGGCCGTGGTAAGATAACCGCCCTATATAATCCCTTTAATATCCAAGTTGTCTGTGGTTACTTACCGCCCTGTATAATCATTTGCTAAATTTACTTGGCTGTTAGATAACCACCTCATAGTATATCTTATATATAAGTCTGTAGTTGGTACTGTATGTCTAACCCCTTTTGTGTGAACTGGTACTGTATGTCTAACCCCCTTTGTGTGAGCTGGTACTGTATGTCTAACCCCCTTTGTGTGAACTGTTTTGAAGTGAAGCTGTCATAATGGATTACCGTAATTACACGTCTCTGCAATGTCTACCGAACCAATTAACCAGACAGGAGAAAACATGTGTTATTCACAGGACGCATAGTGATGACATGCATACCTATTGTTACATTGCGTCATTGTTGTCGTCAAGGAACAATGACGATCTCACTTATGATGACGTCAGAAATCGACAAGGCCATCAATTATTTCCTGGAGACGTAAGCAGGTGATCAATGAAAGCGGTCATGGGGCTAAATGAAGGATTCATGGAGTTGAAGGAATTATTTGTAAACGTCATACCATTATGCATGACGCACACTAGAAGCATACATGTATGTTAAGTACACACACGTACACATAATCAAACGTGTTATAAACATTTGATCACTGATTGAAAATGATATATTTCAGATAACTTCCAAACTGTTGAGGGATTTGTTTTGTGAAGGCGTTTTGCATGATTTGAAATGAGGAGCCAAGTTATTCGAAATGCAGAACCATGAAGCTGTTCCTAAACTCGTGTAATCATCAAAACCCTATACCTTTTTACAATCTGATCTAACCGGATGGTTAGCGTGGTGACAGAAATCTTTGATGTCCTTAATCGCATCATTAATTTGTTAGGTACAATCAATTGTTTCGTTATGCAATAAATCATTGATATAACAAATTAGTAATTGTATATAAATGCGCATGTTGTCAAACGTTTAAGTAAATATTTCAAGGTGGTAGAACGTGTTATTAGTGTATAACGTTTTATGATTCTGAAGCATGTTAAGGCATTGATGAGCTATATACAAACGTAATATCAGAGATTAAATTTTGACAGAACATGTCCAAAAGTTATCGAAATTTACTAAATGTGGACGCGGGCAGTACCAGCACAATAGACGTAAATAAGGTGGGTCAATCTTTACTGAAGTGTCAATGTATGAACGCGTTATAAGGAGAGATGAAAGCGCCGATGTCTATCACCCCGCCCACCTGTCATATGAGCTGTCATACGCGTCACACCGTCAGGCTTAGTCAAACACTAGTATCATTACCCCTTTTGAAAGTACTTGATTCCTATTGATATAAACCAACATGAATATGTCTAATAAATGCTAATACTGAAGACAAACCGTTCTATATATAATAACGTTCGTGAGTGATAAACGGTCATATCAATAAAAGAAGCGTCTGTCAGAGACAAAGAATATGTCACGGTACATAAGTGATATAAGGCAAATCATAGCACATCTGGTATAAGTATGGCGTACTATAAATATTGACGTTACTCCAGATCTGACACAGTGCCTTTGTTTTCTATAGAACATAATGTTTTATTTATTATGAACTATATGAACTAGGGTCGTCGTTCAATTGTGAAGTCACAATATGTTACCAATTATGCAAGTAACCGAAGATTTTAATCACACGATACATATCACCTAGTATGTTAGTCACACTATACATATCACCTAACACGTTAGTCACACTATACATATAACCTAACACGTTAGTCACGCTAAACATATAACTTACAAGTTAGTCTCACTATACATATCACCTAACACGTTAGTCACACTATAAGTATCACCTAACACGTTAGTCACACTATATATATCACCTAACATGTTAGTCACACTATACATATCACCTAACACGTAAGGCACGCTAAACATATCACCTAACACGTTAGTCACACTATATATATCACCTAACACGTTAGTCACACTATACATATCACATAACACGTAAGGTACGCTAAACATATCACCTAACACGTTAGTCACACTATACATATAACCTAACACGTTAGTCACGCTAAACATATTACCTACAAGTTAGTCTCACTATACATATCACCAAACACGTAAAGCACATTAATCATATAACCTAACACGTTAGTCACGCTATACATATAATCTAACAAGTTAGTCACGCTATACATATCACCAACACCAAAGTCACACTATAAATATCACCTAACACGTTAGTCACGCTATAAATATCACCTAACACGTTAGTCACACTATATATATCACCTAACACGTTAGTCACACTATACATATCACATAACACGTATGCACGCTAAACATATCACCTAACACGTTAGTCACACTATATATATCACATAACACGTTAGTCACGATATACATATCACCTAACACTTTAGTCACACCATACATATCACCAAACATGTATTTCACTTTCACTTTAAGTGGTGTTCTATCTTTTAGGTGATACGATATAACCTGAGAGAGTCTATCATTAGAAAAAGAGCCATAATTAAATTCACATTCCTTAATTACATTGAGTGTAAAGTCTAAAAAAATCGTTTCCTCTGATAGCTCTTGTTTTTTGGGGTGTTTGTTTTTGTAAGGTACCCGTCAATAACATTTCTTTGTTAATTATTACTATACATCTGTCAGCTTCCCCTGATACCTTTACCTCACCGTTGTGTCAGTGGATCTCTTCCAAAAACATTATGGTGTTTGAGCAAAGCAAATATTATTCACCATCTTATCTTAGCATTTTCCCTTTTAGATTTCGCATGCTTTGACTCTTCCATAAAAATATTTTCCCCTCTGATACTAATCTTTTTTTCATACATAGATTACTTATTTATATAAACTACAAAATAGCATCGCTTACATTGTAAGAATTTATTTATGATAGCTTTGAGTGTAAATTTTGCATACATCGCACTAGTTTCCGGCCGAAACTGGGCACCAGTAATAGAATCGGTCTTCGTACTAAACGCTTTTTCAACATAGTGGTAACAGAGTTTGATCATGTGACTTTAAAGGCAGCTGATTCCTCTGTAGCTGTTTGGGTCTTTATTTATTTCCATTCTTGTGAATACAGGTACTCAATAGACCAATCTTCCGGGAAACCCTTGGCAAACACATTTTTTTCTATAATTCCGGGGAATCCTTTCAATCAAAACCCTTTAATCAAATACATTGTTATATATAGTTCCTGAAAACATTCTCTCAAACAACCGCTTTTGTTCAAATTGCTTAAATGAACTCCTCGATCGAATACATTTTAGTCAAAGTTCCTTATTAAGGTACTCGTTATTATAGAGTACATAGGACAAGAAAAATACAATAATTGATAGGATACCGGTTCCACTGAACTGTTGGTATTCCTACATACAGTTACCTCCCCTTCATTTTGTTTAGAGTATAACTATGACACAGTTGATCCGTCACACCTCCGTAGACCAGGTAGTCCAGTCGGTTAGAGCAACAGTAGACGATTCAGGTCCAGGTTTCGAATCTCGGTGAAGCCACGCTGACATTTTATATTCAGAACACTATTGATGATACCATTTGTTTATTTCATCTCTATTTTTCAGAAAAGCCACCATAGATAAACTTTGATAAAAAGACAAAGATAAACAAAGATAAAAAATAAGTTAAGGATCAATTTTTTTTCGTCGGTTGCACAGGGATCCTTAATCTATACATAGTATAAGCTATGCAGCAATGATAATACAAGTTTGCATAGGCAAGCTCATTATCAGTTATCTCTTTTAGAAAATGTATGCGTCACCAAAAAATATCACAGACATAACATCCGCCTTACATGTGTATCATATTGAAGAAAATACCATACCGATCCCTCGTTAATCGTGCTTACCACATTGTGTCTATCATTACCTGTATTAAACCTTACACACCTGGTTATTTATTGTTGACTATACCTGTGGTCAGCCGTAGGAGTAGGCTGCTGTCTGATGTACAGGTGACAGTTCGAGATGTTATTTTCTTATCAGTACTGTCGTTACTAATAATTCCTGCATAGGTAAAAATAGCAGTGCGAAATGTATCACCTGCTTCGTCAAGACATATTACTCCTTAAATAGGTTAATGGCAGGTCATGTGATCGGTCCCTCTCTCAAGGCCGTCCATCGCTCCACACTGACCTTAGTGAGCTGACGGCTGAGTCACGAGTTAGGTGGGGATATGGTATCTGTAATGACATACATACTCCTGTCATGTTAGATGATAACAGTTGTACAGAGGAGAGCAATAACTTGAATGATTTAATATGATATGAGTATATCCATATAGCACCAAAGATCACCAATACGAAGATACCTATATACAATAATGTTTTGTTTTCTATTCATATATGTTGTTGTCTTTCTTTATTGCTTAATTTGTTTGTTTTCTTGTTTTTCTTTAAATTGAAATAGACAGTTGAAAATTTACGATCAATTACGTTTTTCCAGTAAATATCAACAGGTTTTTCATTATCACTATTTTAATGTAAAATTACCAGGCACCGATTTAGTATTACTTAATAGTTGTCATCTGTTTGACAAAGTATAATTAATATGATTTCGGAACGCCCTATTATTTAAAGTCAAGGTTTATCAAATCCAGGTAAACAATTCAAATTTCATACGTAGTGTGAGGATTGAGCCTAAATATGAAAGAGCTGTTTGTTTGGTCTCCATCTTCGAAAAACAAATTGTGAAGGAGTATTTCCACTATGTTATGAAAAAAAATGATTACAAAAAATCATAAAAGGCGATTTGAATACCTGATATTATAATGTTCTTTTTCTTTTAAACGGATTACTGATGTATTAAATTAATGTTATCATATAACACTTGGACGTAATACACCTTAACATATATTCTAGTAGTAATATATATATCTGCGCTTACAATATTGCCCATTGCGATGTTCCAACGAAATATTTGACGGTGTCACAACTGTACTTTGATTTTTTTTTCTTTTCATTTTCATTCCAAATGATTTTATGAAACCTTATTTTACAAGACCAACAAGTAACAAGAACTTATCTGATATATTTTGTGTTTTTATATGATATATGATATATGCCAAATTGAGTATAAATATCTCTGTTTTTGTTCATATGTTACAGATAGCAGATTCCACCTACGTGACAATACCTCATAGGGAATGTACATATCACAACGTGCAAGTCTAAGAAGAACAAGATAGCATTTATACTGCCACTACAGGACACTGTCAGAAAACTGAATAAACAGCATGGATTTTAAAATCATATTCCAACACAAAATAAGTATACTACTTGTTTTGTTAAACATTATCAATGGACTTATTGGAACAGCTGTTCCTGACACAAACTCCAAAACAGCAGCTGCGACAGAAAAGCCTAAAATGGGTTGTTATAAAAAGTTCTGTACATTGTTCGGTGCTATATGCACCGAAAAAAGTGGCACGTGTGTGTCCGGTGAAGGATGTGCGGGTTATTGTCATTGTACAAAGGCTTACAAAGGCAGATACTGTCAAATAAAAATAGACTCGGACGAACCCTACAATGGTCACACCAATGGTAAATCTTCAGACAACGGAAACGGCAATGGCCATGACAATGGTAATGGCAGGTCAAATTCGCGAACAAAGAAAAAGCCCACGGTAGGTGTTATCATGAAACTGTTCAAAGGACTCAGGACAAATGGTAATGGTAACACGTCCAATTCTAATGCGGCAAACGGGGGAAAGACATTGCCAACTAGTCGTGTCCCGTTTTCAAGCAAATATCCTCCCGTTAAAGCAGCAGCACAGAAAGGACAGGAAATACCAACTACCAACTATAAGTCTGGTAGTGAAAGTCGAAAGCCCGGAAGTACAGTGATCCCACGAGTAAACACAGATGAGAATGGAAACGGCAATGGAAGTGTTACGACGAAAATAAATCATAATGGCAATGCAACCATTTCGGGAAAAGCAACCGTTCACAGTACTGCTGTGAACTCTAGTATAGGGAAGTCCAATACAGCTACAACTACAGGCCCGATACTCGAAGCAGACCACAAAAACATTACAAGGAATAAAACGAATGGGGAAATTGAAGTTAAAAATAATACCGCAACTTCAACAACACTTGATATCAGTAGTGTTGAAACTACAACTAAGGATCCTGGAAATATTCAAAGTACAGAAATATTAAATCCTAATTCGACAACAGTTCTTGGGAACAAGGTTAAAGCAGCCGAAACAGGACTCCAGACAAAACCAGACACAGACTCTGTTAAGCCCGTCGTAGGAGGAAATGGACATTTACAACTTACAACGACAGAACAAACTCGCCAACCAAAATCGAAAACAAATACCAAACCGATGACAAGTAAGGCTAAACCAGAGAGTTCTGGTAATGTTAAAACCGAAACCGAAAGCAATGCTGGACATGTTGACCATACAACGACGTCTAACAAAGACACGACGGTAAATAATACTGGAGAAGGATTAGCTAAATCAGAGTCGGATACCGGAACTGCAAAAACTTTAATAACTCAGATAACCATTGGAAGTTCAAAAACCAAACCTGATTTGATAGGCCCTAAATCGGCCGTAGAAATTCCAATACTGAAAAACAGTGAGGTCAGTTCTTCAGCTATTGCAGATTCGGCGGCGGTTCCTTCTAAGTTATCTAAAGGTGAATTTTTTATCAGAGACGTCCCTGTCACAACTGGAAATAGTGACGCAAATCAACAACCCAGGACAGACATCCCAAGATCTGCTGCACAACTCTGGCGTTTTCATAAGTCATCCACAAGGAATGAAGAATCAGCATTGCCAATGGTTTCATCCGGAACTGTGAAAAGTACACTGGATGATGCTAATCGATGGGTTGCATCAGGTTTCGAACCAGACCTACATTCCGACATACTCGTGAGGGAAAACATGGCCCTTGTGCTTGGTAAAGACTTTATAGAGGAGGAAGAAGTCCAGGAGTCGAAATCCACCTCAGGCAATATACCATTGGGTCAAAATGGAAATAATATTATAACATCGCAATTGGAAAGAGCTGGCCTTACCGAAAGCATTGCAAACATTTCTAAGGCAAACAATGAACGTCATAACAACACGGTTTTTCGACGGAATGAAATCGCTCCAAAAGCGCCTGTATCAATGTCAATAGAAAACAAGATGAATTCGAATAACAGATCATCAGATAATCGAACATACCTATCTAGTAAACATTCATTCGTTAATACAATACGACCTTTTGATCCATCAGAAAATACTGTAACGGTAGAAGAACCAACGTCTTCGGTCATTATCAGCACAACAGAATCCTCAAAAGCAAAATCAGAGCTACCAGAGGAAAATATCTATCTGGCGTCAGCAGTGTACAAACAATTTATTCCTCCCGAGGAAGTGCCAAACTCCGAAAAAAGGAATAACATCTCAAATGTCGTGGCGCCAACAACAGTAGTTAATACTACTACTGATACAAAAATGGAGCATGATTATCAAATTGAGGATGGACATCGCGTCCTTGAATCAAATATTCAATCATCTACCATGAACAATGATAGGATCACGGCTCAATTTTCACATGTTGCTGACACTACTCCATCAGTGGTTGTAAAAGACTCGGATAAAATTACTGAAATATTAGGCAAAACATTGAAGGTACGCAAGAATGATACAGGTATTTCAGAGGAAGATACTGCAGTTACTGCTTTAGAGAAACTCAAATCTTTACTTGTCTACGTTCAAACTATATTATCATCAACCAAAAATGACCTTGATGCGAGGAAGGCGAACAATGAACAATCAGTCAATTCGGGACGAAATAGGAAAGAAAACACCACAGAATCAAATTCAGACACCGCTGGGTCACTAAAAGAAACCATACCAAAGAGTCATATACACAACAGATCCGAGACTGAACAAGAAAGCATAAAATTCATAACCGACTACAGCAATCAACAACAGCAAGACGCAAACGAAGCCACAACAGAAACCGCTTTTATTCTGAGAACAGAAGCTGTGGAAACGACGACTCCTAATACATCGGATAGCACACCTGATGATATTTATGAAACCAGCGAAGACACATTTGTTAAAATACCAATTTTTCAGAGGCCCCCAGAAAATACAATTCCCCCAACAGTGGAGCCAGTTATTACTAGTACTGGTGATGGGATGTTAAAGTCTGAATCCAGTAGTCCTACAACGGGTCTCTCTGAAAAGGAAATGACCGCGCCAAGACGCCACATATCTACTTCAGCAATGGCTCTTATATTACGTAAGATCTATGCTATAGGAAATCTCATAACGAGGCCAGCAATAAAAGGCACAACTACAGTGATTCCAGATACCGCTTCACCTGATACAGAACAACGCGCTGGTTCACTCGTCACGAAAATGACGAACGAAGGACATTTGTCAACTTCTGAATCGTCAAAAATATCACACACCTTTGACAACGTTCCAAACAAAATGTCTGCAGTCAATATGAAACAGAAAAGTGAATCAGATTCTCCAGGAAATTCAAACGCAGATAGGAATGAGCACAAAATAAGGGGCTTTTCTAAAATGGACAAATATTTCCAACAAAATAAAACTGTTATGAGCGAGCGAGCGTTTTATGGAAATGAGGATATGGTTGGCAATTATATCGTTGACTCAACGTCGACTATGAAACCGTATACAATGCCACCTACGACAGATCCACAAGACGGCGAGTTGCTTCAGTCAAACAGTAACACTAGTACTGGCGACAGCAGTTTTAGTAAACAACAAAGTGACACTAAATTGAAACAAAGAACAAAGGGCGATTCTGTGAATTTATCGTCATTAGAAACCGTGTTAAGTATTACAACAGTGTCTCCAAAGCCCGAAAACACGACTATCAGTTAAAAATGTGTGTGTTGATCGGAGCTAGGATCATTGAAATCTACCTGTGAGAAACTGTATCACAAACTCTTCCACCACTGTGTAAACGTGTATCATATATAATGGAGTAGGCCAATAATGTATCGAGGTATAACTAAGTACAAGCGTTTCAAATTTTTCTAAGTTTAAATTAATTGTCATTTTTATATTTATCAATCCTTTAATTAACTTTATAATATATATGTATAGTTCAAAACGAAGCGACTAACAGAGCAATATACTATTAGATGCAGTTGGTGTATATCTGCAAGGTCAAAACAGTAACATATGTGACAGGTAACCTCACACTTGTCTATAAGAAGCGTGACTTGTACCTTTTTTCTAGCAGGACTAGATAAGTATGTATGGTCGTGATATACAGTCATAAAAGTGTTTCTCTCGTCCTTCAGGCGACGTCTACAGTCCGGCCTTTATAACCCTGGACAGAAAAAAGTTCATATAGCATTGATTTAACGCATGTCCCTAAGTGTTGACGGCATGACTCGTTGGCAGTATTTGTTGTTCTCAGCGCAACGTTCAGCTAAAATTGTGAATAGTGTATTGACTGCCATTTGACGTCGGAAATAACAAGATGAAATCATGTATTCTCTGTGAATGCGATAGTGTCTTCTTCTTTTTTGTTGTTGTTGTTGTCTATCGAAAATTGTGGCAAAAGGCGATAAATGATCATATAAGTATAAAGCAGAAACTCCGTGCCATTCCCTTGGAATTGTACAACATATTTTCTCTTGTTCGAGATCTCCTAGAGAATGAGATAATTTGATTGAACTTTACAGCAGAAAAAGTGTGGTTATTTAGGTGTCCAGGTATTGAGATATTACCCATACAGAAAGAGAGATACCATGACTTCTCTCTATTTGAAATTGTCTTCAAGACAATAGGATAATTTGTATTTGTTGCTTCCGTCTTCATAGCCCTTTAATTTACCTGTTTGGAAAATAAAAACATATAAATATCTTTGAAAAACATAATGACTGTATATGTAACATATGTACCTAGACATAAAAGTAAATATTAATTAAATGTCTCTACATGATATGGATTATCAATAACTAATAGTTTTTCACAAATTAAGAAAAAAAATGATTTTATGAAATTAGAGGTAAGTAGAATTTACAAAAGATTTTACTTCAAAGACAAAAAAATACACTTTTTTTGTTTGTTTTCATTTATGAAATGTTTTTTATCATATCCGTCGTTTGTACGTTAAGATATGAAATGAAATGTTTTGTTAAAATTAGCATTGCAAAAGTAATGCAAATGAAAAGAGGAAAAAACTAAAATGTCAGGGATCGAACTTGTGAACAATCCATTACCGATACTTTACCAATGTTGTCATCAAGAAGATCGTAAATGTATATTATCAATGGAGAGTAACTTTTAGTTATAAAATCTCCTTTTTATGAATAGTCCAAGTCTTATTTATCTTAACTTTTTAATCAAAATTTTCCTTAAAAAAGAGGGGATGATCAGCATTTTTTTTTAGTTGTTTTCATCTTTCATCTGTTTAAGATAAAGTAACAGACTGCGGGAATTATTTGATTTGATCTAGGGTTAATCTGTTACATAATTTGTGTAAATTCACCAACCTCATAGAAGTTAATCCTGTAATTATTCAATGCAATGTTATGTGTTGGCAAATTTGATAACGTTGCTGGCGACTTGTTATTAAATATATTTAAATAAAAAATGTTATACTAATGCTGTCTTTATAAACATGTAGCTGTTCTTATTTCTTGTTGTATTTTTCATGACATAGTCATAATATGAAAATCTTATCTGATACAACCCACGCCAACCCGTCATACATTTCATGAACATTTCTCAGTATGCACAACGCTTAACTGATTGGATATAAAATAATGGAAAAAGTATCATTTAAGAGAATTGTATTCAAACATTCCATTTAGTAAGTGATTACTGAGGGAGATAGCAAACATTCACGTATGCATCATTCAAATATCGAGTAAAAGATATCTTGGAATAATTTTGTAAACAACGAAACAGCACAAATAACCACTAAGTCATTGTTGTCACTACATGTCAGTAAAAAGGACCACGAATTTTACATTTGACTGTGACAGTGACCTACAGTGTTCGTATTACAGGACTGCATAGCCATAGTAAGTCAGCACAATGTGTTTAAAACTGTATATACCATCTCGAAAGTATTATATAATTGATTTGCTATAGTTCATCTAGATTGAAAACAATCAGTAAACATAACATGATCATTCAGAATGATCCTCTGTGGTATTTCATCATCCCCACACATATACCTGTATCTGACGTCGTTGGTATCACGACTTTTGTTTTGCAGATGAATATATCGCAAGGTCACGAGTGGATGCTTGCGCAATAAACTGGTATTATCTTCTAATCAGATTCAGACATTTGTATGTGTTGGTGCATATTACATGCCTGCAATTTATCTTTAAATGCAGATATTATTTTTCTACGCATCATAACTCATTAAAATGACAACAAGGAATATTAACGTCACGCTACCATAACGTAAACTAATACTGCTAAAAAGGTTTGGAAACTATAATTATGAAAAATTGTTCGGTCTGACAAGTGGATGGGTTCAGCCGAATAGAAAATCGGGTAATACAACATTTGCATAATAGTAAAACGGAACCTCGTATTTCATGCCATCAAACTTTACTATTTCATTTTGAAATCAGGCATATGATAAAATATGATTTAATTAATTAGGAAGTATTTTTGAAAAGAGAGACATGTCACAGAAAGATAGTTCTTAAGTCATAAAATGAAATAAGATACTAGCGTAATTTTGAACAAAATGTTATGGGATTATTCATTGTGAATAATATTTCTTCAACAAGTATCTCCACATTCCAAAAGGAGATCAATGCATTTAAAACACAATACATATTTCATGATAACACTTTGATAGTGACGAATTCATTGATGAACCATTTGACAGGCATGCTAAAATTTATGACACATTGATGAAGGGTACCCAAGAATTGATGACACATTTAACAGGTACACAAGAAGTACAATATTAAAGTTCGGGAAATTTTCGATCATGATATAATGGAAATTATAAGGGATATAACTCTAACACAGTTAACAAAATTGAGTTTGTATTGCAAATTGCTACTTACAACTGAATTTTAAATGCATTTTTTAGTGAATTTAAAGTCAGAAAGTGGATGCAATAAACTTTGATCTGATAAAATCTGTAAAAACATGTTGTGATAAAACATTGATGATTACAACTTTCAATTTAATCTTAAATGAATTTGCTAAGTGAATAAAAATAAAGTGTTAATAATAAATCGTCTATTAAGAAAAATAATATATAAAAATGTTTTGAGAATATATTCCAAATTACATCTTTAAACTTAAGTTTAAATGAAAATTTTAGGGTATTAAAAGAAAATATTGGCAATACATGTTTCTGTAAGAGATTGCCAAATTGGTTTGGGAACTACAACTAATAACTAAGTTTTAAAAGGAAACATTTCACTTAGCAATAAAAAATCTAGAAACAACAATATACATGTATGTGAAAAATATTTCATGAATATCTCTGTTATTGTTTTCGAGAAATTGAAGGATATCTGTTTTGTAAAGTGAGTACATTCACTTTAATTACTACGCTCATGCAGAGTAGCTATGATATTTCATTATAACGTAGAATAACTCTCAAGACTCAAGACTCAAATATTATATATATATAACACCATGCTATACATTCTACGCCTGTAATTTAGCGGAAAAATAACATTTAACGCCTAGTAAATAATTAATGGCGTAGACGACAGCTACAGGGCCGACAACTCGTAAACTACATACCGGTGACCCAGGCATGTGTTTAGGAGATCTATTAACAAGAGTCATCGATAACTACAAGGGACAGGGGAGCATTTATCATCCAGCAAAGTAGGATATGTGTGACAAAGTAGAGATATAATGTATTGTTTGCTTCTTCACTTGCTTAAACACGGTTAAAGGCATATGAAAGAATAAAAAATGATTATATATGAGAAAATACAATTTTGATATAAAGTTACGGGATGATATCTTCTAGATTGTTTTTTTAAAAATAAGTAGAATGGTTTTTTTGAGTTTGCCTTATTATACACCTTAAAGCTCAAATTGTTTAGTCGACGATGCATTAAACTTAAAATTAGAAATTAGAAATATATGTTCCAAACAGATAAGAGCTATACAATTTATAGTAAACATAATTGGACTTTTTGTTATCCGTTCCTTATAATCATTGATGCAAATATATACTAAAATAAATATCAGTTTATGAATATTTAGTTTCCGTTTCATATCTTGAATGTTACTGTTATTATTGGGTATGGAGTTACTATTTGGATACTTTCGGTACCATTTTATAGAAACATACTAATTAGGTTATTGTTTCTGTATTAAAAGAATAGCCCTGGTACAACCTAACAATTATCTTTGTGTTGTCTCCCTTTCCATCCTAACAGGTGCAGTAGTAATTGTAGTCATTTTACTAAAAGTTGGCCATGCATGTTAGCGACCACGTAACCAACGACGAAATACAGCGACGTGTGACCTAAAAAATATAATATTGATGACATCCATTATGCTGAATGTGTTGCTCTTACGGTTTTCTTACTCACGCCCTCGCGATGATAATGAGATCCGGGAATGGGCGTGTTTACGAAGTATAATGACATGTAGGCTTGGTCTGTTTAATTGTATCAATAGAGTACTACAGAAAATCCATGTATTGTAAAAACTCATTCGAGAGCGAATTGATATCTACACTGAACAACGGTAATTTGCAAACAACTAAGTGTTCACAGTTCATATCACTCCTGTTGCTGACCAAACAAAGTGAATTTACATTTTACTTGAAGGAATATGGATAACAGCAATCTGGTTCATTGGAGTATAGGCAAGCTGCGGAATAAACGAATCTGTAGGACCATTCTACTGCTAGTAACAATGACAAGTCTCATTATAGTGTCTGTTCATAATTTTAGTCCTTTGAAAACGTTTGAAAGGATGAAGGCATCACACATGTCAAAATCCGATATCTCAAAGACGCCGACGAGAGTGCAGCACAGCGGAGTAAAGCATGATTGTATAACATGTTCATCCCTTGGGGCTATGTGTATCCACGGTGTATGTGAAAATCTAGACCAGTGCGTTAGTTCTTGCAAATGTGAGAAGGGATATGGTGGAATTCACTGCGACATAAAAAAGAAGTCTAAATCTGCTTTAATGTTAAAACAGCTTCAAGAAGTGTCTGTGAAAGTTTGATATAATGGAAAAGAACTGGAAACACACAGGAACTAGTAAGTGTTAAGGATTGAAGGATAAAGTTGCAGCAGATTATTATATAAATACTTCCTTTGATCTGAATCCTTCCGTAATGTTTTTTTCTGCTGATTACTTATTCTAACTCGTGTTATTAAGAGTTTAGTGTATAATGTCAAGAATTTTCTTTATGAAAACAGTCTGTAATAAAAATCTGTTTTGATTTCAATTGCTATGTTGTTTTGATCAAACGTTCTTGAATCCTCGATGTCTGACATTCCGGTGATGCAATCCTACAGTAAATAATTCACTTGATTTGATTATGTGTCAAGGTGAACCAATCGTTCGTTTCCGCTTGACTGGATAATTATAGGTAACGACTTGGAACTATTGAGGCAACAAACACATCAATCAGGAGGCAAAAGAAGGTGGCCTTAAGCATCTGCTGTCGGATTATATACAAACAAATCGTTAATATACACAATTTATTTTAGAGTTATATGAGTTAGTTAGACATAAATAGATCACGATAATGCTAGTATTGATTAAATATTTAACAACTTTTCTCGTTTTTGTTGGGGTTTTTTCATCCATGCATCTTCTTTTTTCTTGCGAATCATCATCAATCAGTTTGAATGGTTACGAATCAGGTAATTAACTCTCACATGTGTTTTCTCACGTATTTGTAAGAAAATAGATAGAAAATCAAGTATTGGATTTTTTTGCGGCGACAATGTTGCAGAACTATTATTTGTATTATTATCTAGTTACATTAAGTTTACATCAAATCTCAAAAACTATGTTTCTATAATGATTTACAATTTGTTGAAAAAAAAAGAAAAGAAAAAAACTATATGTAAAATATTTCCAAATAGAAAAAATCTCAGTTCAACAGTAAATGACAACAAAATGAACTTACTACACATTACAACAAACCCCTAAACTAGTTTAAAGCGACATCTGGTGACCTGAAGAGTAATGGTCGTTCTACACCATCTGTGGCACCCGTCATTATGACTCCTGTCAAACGCAGAGAAATATGTAGATCACACAGACAGGTGGCCGTACCTATAGATGTTGGCAACTGATACAGTATACAAATAATGAATTACACTGCACCATACAGCTTTATTTCGTCCTTCTAGAAATCATCAGTGATGCTAGGAGCCTTATAACAGAGGGGCAGATGTGTTATACCCGTAAATTTATGGATTTTTTTCAATTACATGAGTACTGGTTAATTTCAAATTTAGCTTTCTGTAAAGAGTGTAAGTTGGGAAACGTGCCACTGTTCAGAAGAGATAAATGTGGCCATCAAGGTTACAGCAAACCTCGGGGACTTCGAAATCCACCAGCAGAGTCTACCAACTTGTATCTTGAAAGCCACAGTTAACACATATGTAATAAGGGACACTAAAACCACTTAGCTACAAAACAGACACTGATGATGAACGGTAAACACCTTCAGCATAGACTGATTATTAACCATAAGAAAACCCTGGCTACACGGCACACAATGTTTTTTGTATACCTAGCAAAAGATTATATTCAAACATTACTAGCATCAACTAAGGCATTTAGATCCAAAACGGTAAATGACGTTATACAACTGTGTATTGTTATAACTGTAAGCTACACAGCTGCAGTGTACGTTGATTTTAATGGATACGATAACACAGTCATATGTTAACAGTATCAATCATTGCTAAAATAGGTTAAAGTTACACAATCAAAAACTAAATTAGGGATATAAATTATGATATACTTGAATAATTAACTAAATAATTTGCACTTGAAATGCAAGATTTACGTCACTAAATCTTATTGTAGATACATCATACGATGTACATATTTACATATTACCTAAAATTGTCTATATCGTTAGAATAAAATGGTAATTATAACAGTATTATCGTATTTATCTTAATTTCACAATACACAAAGGCACTTAAAATGTCAAATCAATGAAACTCATTATTACTTAATTTTGCTGAAATGCATGTTTTGTTATTGCATCAAGAGTTATAATTACCGATGCCTTGTCAAACGAATGCATTTAAATGTCTGAGAAAAACCTTTCTTGTT